TGTGGGACTTTTGTCCCCACCTTGCAGTTGCAGCACTTGGGGTTTGGAGACCAACCTGGCACAGTGTGAATTTTGTCTTGCCAGGCTGGCTGAACCTGAGGATGGGGAGTCAAGACTTTGACTCTTGTCATGTTCTTGACCAAGGGCCTCCAGGGTCCTTCCCTTTCATCCTTCCCTTCCCACCCCACCTTCCAACTATGCTTGAATGCCTTTTCCATCATGTCTCTGAACTTGTAAGCTTCTATCATAGTGACTCTGAGGACTGTCAATTTCTCCTAGGGCAGATTACCCCCCAGTGCGCCAAAAGCCATAGCTCACTCGATAAGCTACGGAATCGAGTTATTCAACTTTCAGTGGAAAGCTGACGGTGCAAGCTACAACATATCCGATTTTCAGATTGGTTCATCGATTGGAGTTTTGGATATAGCTTTTCGAAGGTCGCGAGTTTTCTGGGCGTCATAACGAAGTGCTGCAGAAATTTCCAAGGAGCCATTGAATCATCTGCTTATAGCCTTCTCTAACCAACAGAATGGGCGCGCATCACCACAGTGTAAGGATGGGCGCGCATCATCATAGTTTAAGGATGGGCGCGCATTACCACAGTGTAAGGATGGGCGCGCATCACTAAAGTGTAAGAAAGGGCACGTATGTTTACAGTATAAGGATGGGAGCGCATCACCACAGTCTAAGAATGGGCACGCATCACCACAGTGTAAGGATGCGCGCCAGTGCTGATCTTTGGTTTTTCACCACTCTGAAATCTGGAAGCTTCTTTCACCATTACTCTGAGAACTAGGGTGGTCCTCAACATTTTCCCTGAGGAATCAGAGTAACCCCATAATTTTTATTTTTTTACTCGGGCTAGTCAGAGTGGTATTTTTTCCAGCTCTGGTGAAAGTGCTAGTTGCACAGAGTAAAATAGTGACAGCAATAGTTTTTTTTCGCAATAAAGCATAGCACAATATTACATGACTAACTCATCATCATTATCCTCCTTGTCATCCTCACTTTCACCTCCGACACTCCCATCGTCTGAGCTCTCTGCGACATCCTTCTGCTGTGGGAAGAGGGGGATTTCCTGCTCAAATTCAACATTCCTAGCTTGCCTACGGTGCCTAATGCGCCTCCACTTCTCCACGATCTGGGGGTAGTCCATGTCGTAGTCCAGCATGCTGATGGTCATCAAGTCACCAAGGGTGGCATCGCACAGGCTTGTGCGATGCCATCCCTTGATGACATTCTGCCGTGAGAATCCGCGCTCGCACTCGACGGTGCTCAAGGGCAACACCGCCAGCGCCTGCCACATCCGCATCAGGTTCGGGTAGGACTTGTACCAGTCCTTCGTCTTCATCATATTGGCCAAACCCTGGGCGAAGTCGTCGTCCTTGCGATGAGTCTTCATGATGGGGCAAAAGGTCTTCAGCTCCAGCTCCATCGCTCGCAGTTCGACTCCTGTTGGCGAGGAGGGAGGGGGGGGGTAGGGGCGTATAATGGCACGAAAAGGAGGTGTTGAAATAACAGAGGCACCGCATCTAACCATATTCAAGACATACGACACGACCTCTTTTAAAGCCACTGACCTGGCAGCTTGTTGTCAAACAGCGCCATGTTCTGCTCAGCCCACTTGCGGTACCGGCGCTCCCGCACCTCTGCCTTCTTGGGCCACTGGTCCACCTTGTAGAGCTTCGACCCCTCCATCCGCTTCATGTCCCACAGCCGCCCCTCCAAGCACCCCACTGTCTCTTTGGCGAACGCCGTGCAAAGGTCTTCGCAGTCGGAAGGAGTGCCGCCGAACGCATGTCCCGGGATGCGCGACAAGGTGAGCTCGAACTTGTGCGTGCAGGGAGAGCCATCTGCCGCGATGCCGTGCACCTCGAGCGACCCCTTACCCTCCTTGTAGCGGGCGAGGAACTTGTCGAGCTGCTTGCTCAGCCCGCCGCCGAACCGCTCCCCGTACTCGATGTATCGGTGCTTGATGTAGGTGACAGTGCGGTCGACCTCTTGGGTGACGAGCATGATGTCCACCTGAAGGTCGGGGTGGGAGGGCAAGGGCAAAGGGCACGGATGTTAGAACTTGTTTCCCGCCAGACACACGCCCAAGTTATTAATCAACTCAACGAGCCACGACAGGAAAGAAAACGATTCAACTTACCGTGCGGCGCTGGAAAAACCTGTTCAGAGTGTTGAGCTCAGCGAGGATGTCGGCGAGGAAGTTAAGGCAGAAGTGGAACTTATAGGACTTCAGCAGCGCGACGTGCTTGTGCTTGTACTCGATGAAGACGACGATAACTGCGCCGAGAATCTTGCAGAGTCGCCGCACAGCGTCACCACGTGCAAGCCACCTTATAGCGTAGAGCCCCTGATGTTCGAGGTTCGTGTCATGGATGACAAGTTGCAGAGCCTTGAACCTCTCGTACCACGGAGTCGAGCGACCGACGATTTCTCCGAAAGCTCGGATGATCACGTCGACGATGAACAGGTCGGGGAAGGAGTTGGAGGCGTCTTTGACCGCCAGCGCTTCTCTGCGATGGCACCAAGGCACAAGTGAGGTTAGAAACATGCATGGATAATCATAGAGACATGGACAGGAGGGTACTGCAATGGCAGTCTTACCGATGTGCGATGCAATGGCAAGCGACAAGGTGCGGGATACGTAGTCGGAGACGAGCGACGAGCCCGTTCTTCTCGCCGGTCATCACCGACGCCCCATCGGTGCTAATACCGGCGATCTTTTGAAGCTCAATGCCACTCCCCTCCAGGTGACCCAGCAGGACAGATTGGAGCGACGCGGCATCACACTTGTCGATGGTGAGCAAGCTCAAGAACTCAGTGACGACGCGCCGCTTCTTTAAGAAGGTGCCGAAAACGATGAGATGCTTTCCGCGGGTGCGGTCGGTACTCTCGTCGCAGCTGATGTCGATGAACGGGGGGGAGTGGATGTGCTCCATCTGCTGTGCCTTCAAGAAAGCCACCATGGCTTTCACCATCTCCTTGAACCCATACCTGCGACAAACACCATACAATAAGACAACAGATTAGATATCACTCCCGTATTCAATAGATTATACAAATATGAAGACAGCGCGCTTACTTCGTGATGTACGCGCCGTAAGTCTGCTTGGGTATGTCCTTCACCCCCTCCTGCGACAGGTGACCGATTAGACGTGTGAACATTGAAATCGGGGCATCTTCCTTACAGATGAATAGCATGGAGCGTAAAAGTCTGATGACGCGGGCGACGTCGGGGTCGTTCTTGGCGAAGTTGTCCATGCGCTTCTGGTTCTCGATTTCCTTGTCAAGGTGAGCTTGCTTCTGCACGCAGGCCTCATGCTTGGTGCTCTCCTCGTGCCACCGCATGCTGCCAATCTGTAAGTCCCTGCCGCCAGGCCCATCGCGACCGTAGCGGGCTGTCGGCTTGCCATGCTGCATGCACACGCTGCAACATAAACAGGGTGAGCCATCGTCAGTTTTATCCAAGACGAGCCAAGGAAACCTTCCTTGCCAATCTGAGGTATATTTCTTTTGAGCAGCAAGATAAGCTTTAGCCTTCATCTCGGCCGACGTTGGTGCGAGGGGTCGCTCTGCTTCAACGGCGGGGGCAGGGGTTGTTGGCGGCGTTATCTTGGAAGGAGGCGCGAAGGGGAGATATCTCTGCTGGTACCGCCGTCTCTTCTTAGCCGACGATGTTGATGCAGATGCCGGCGGCGAGAGCACGGGATCCGGAGGTGGAGGATCTGCCGGCTTGTCAACCGACAGATTCGCCTCCTCCATTTCACGCTCCCATTCGTCGCTGCTTAGACTCGGGAGCGGCAGAGGCTCTACTGGGGGGGTGGTAATTCGACGCTTCGGGAGCGGAGGAGGGTCTACTGGGGAGGCGTTCGTGCGACGCAAAAAGTCTAACCCGCTGAGTGGGGTCGAGCTACGTGGGGGTGGGGTGTCATCCTCATCCTCCCCGCCATCGTCGGCATCGCCCAGGCCAGCCATAGCTGGCGAGGCAGGACGACGAGAGGATTTGAGGCTGGCGGAATAGATCACGTTCGACGAGATGTGAGAGAGGGTTGCTAAACTGGTACACTAGCGGCTACTGCCGATGTAATACAGGGGGAGAAGAACAGGGTGAAGAAGACGAGGCTTTTCTCGCCTGTTCTTGGTGCCCGTGGCGCCATCGACATGAAGGTTGGGTGCCTTTTTGAGCCATCGTGAACGTTCGAGAAGGGCATATGCCCGCGCGTGTGGGAAAAGATTCCCGCTGTGTTGCATGCCTGTCGATGTGCGTGGCTGCAAAAAATGACAAAGGGGCCAATCAGAGGCACATACACGTACGCGAGTACAAGTGTGGCAGGAGTCGACGTGGTAAACTCGGGTGTGGCGCCGAAACCTGCGTAAAAAATACACAAGTGTCCAATAGGAGAGAAGGGTATCTGCCAGCAAGGGTGGGTCTGGCAACATATGACGTGGGCCAGCTCGGCGGTCTGCGTGAACAAGGCGAGGATATGGGGGCATGTATGTGGACAGGGGGGTACAGGAAAATACGGGGGTATCCTCCTTACAGTAAACCCCTCAGGGTGGTACAAAAGAAAACCCTGGCTCATCAGAGAAAACATATAATCTAAAATTTTTACCCAGAGGCATAAGGGTGGTAGACAAAATCAACTCTGAAAATCAGAGAATCAGAGTAATTTACTCGTGAAAAATAGGGACTGCTCAGTCGCCTATAACTTCTACATACCTAGCTAATATGTATAAGTTGACAATATGACCCTCCCTGGGTCGTGTATTTGGATTTTGCTGGCACAATGCTACCGCAGCTGGCCAAGAATGGTCCAAAATTCGCTGCCAGAAATTGCGCAGGCAGAAATTTTCTCGCAAGCGCACTATGACGTAATGATTGTGGCCAAACAGCAACATTCCTGTTGGCCCACAACTCGATATGGACGTGACGTGAGGCAGTAGTAGGACACTACATGCATTTTTTCGTTAACTTAAGAGAGTTCGTTTATAAGAATTATAAGACCCCTTATTCCTTCCGTTTATAAGACAAACCTCCAAATTCTTAGGGGGTATTGGACAAGACCCTTCTATCCGGGCGAATACGGTACCTGGTAGTCTTCCTAGCTCTAACACCCTGCATCCCCCAGTTTGCCTCACAGCACTTTCTTCATCCTCCTCCTCTTGGAGTGCTTGCCCGCAGCACCACGCGCTCCTTCCCCACTCACTGCACTTGCACTGGCGGCACCAGCAGCACCTTGCGTGGTGGTGAGGGCAGCAGAGGCCTGGCTGGTGACGGCCCAGGATGCGTCTGCCACCGGCATCACCTGCTTCCGTTTCTTCCTCTTGCCACTCGCCCTCGCAGCCCCTGTGCTCAAATCCGTCTCGCCCACCTTGTCAGCAGCGCCCAGTGACATGTCAGCATCCGCACCAGCAGCTTCAGCCACATCCCCCTGGTTGCACTCACCCCCCTTCTCACCCTCCTTCTCACCCCCCTTCTCACCCTCCTTCTCACCCCCCTTCTCACCCTCCTTCTCACCCTCCTTCTCACCCTCCTCCTCACCCTCCTCTTCACCCCCCTTCTCACCCTCCTGCTCACCCCCCTTCTCAACCCCCTTCTCCCCCCCCTTCTCACCCTCCTTCTCACCCTCCTTCTCACCCTCATTCTCACCCCCCTTCTCACCCTCATTCTCACCCCCCTTCTCACCCTCCTTCTCAACCCTCTTCTCACCCTCCTTCTGACCCTCCTCCTCACCCTCCTCTTCACCCCCCTTCTCACCCTCCTGCTCACCCCCCTTCTCAACCCCCTTCTCCCCCCCCTTCTCACCCTCCTTCTCACCCTCCTCCTCACCCTCCTTCTCACCCTCCTTCTCACCCTCCTTCTCACCCTCCTTCTCACCCTCCTCCTCCTCCTCGCCCTTGTGGGCCTCCGTCGCCTCCTCTGCCCGCTCAGCCTCTTCTTCCTCCTCACCCACTGCTGCACCCCCCCCATGCCCTCCCTCCTTCCCCTCTCCCTTCTCCTCTTCCTCCTCTTCCTCCTCCTCCTCGTCCACTTCACCCTCCTCTACTCCTTCGTCGTTGCCTACCTCCTCTTCCCCATCCCCCACCACTACCGTTTCTTGTGCCTCTACCTCCTCCTCCGCTTCCCCCTCTACATCCTCCTCCACTTCCCCCTCTACCTCCTCCTCCGCTCCCCCCTCTGCCTCCTCCTCCGCTTCCCCCTCTGCCTCCTCCTCCGCTTCCCCCTCTACCTCCTCCTCCGCCTCCTCCTCCGCATCATCGCGCATTGCACTCTCACCGCTCCCTGCCGGCTCAGCCGTGGGGGGAGCCACGGGAGAAGTCGCAGCAGTCGCAGCATCCACGGCGGGTGATGCATTCGCGAAGGTAGCTGCGACGATGCCGACGAGCGCGGCCATATTGGAGGGAGCCGACGCAGCCGTCGCAGCCGTCGCGTCGGCGGGCGAGTGGGCGTCCATGGCGCGCGCGACGGCTTCGAGATGCGCGGGGTCGGCGGAGGAGAACGCGGCGAGGTCCGCCAGCACCCCGCCCATGGCGGACGCGGGGATTTCCGCGCCGTCTGGTGGGGAACGGAAAGCGCGGAGAACGGCGAGGGCGAGGGGGGGAGGGAGGGGGGGAAGAGGAGGGGAGGGGGAGTGGGGGGGGAGGGAGGGTGTGGGGGGGGGAGGGAACGGGGGAGGATGATAACGGAGGTACGGGGAAGGGGAAAAGGGGGAAGGCGAAACGGCGGAATGGGGGGTGGGGGGGATGAGGAGGGGGGTAGGAAACAGGCGGGAGGAGGGGAGTGGCGAAAAACCTAGGGCGCTTGAAATGAAGCGAAGGGACCTAAACCCGAAACCCGAACCCCGAAACCCTGACGGGAGAGGCACTCCGAACGGCCAGACTAGATCCGCGAAGGAAGCGCGACGGCAAAGAGGCACTGCGCAGAACAAGCGCAAGGCCGAAACCATTGACGCTGCGTTCAGACAAGACGCAGCCTGGGCTCCCACCAGCAAGCCGCAAGCACCCGCGAGGCTTCTCTCCCCCACCACAAGGCTTCTCTCTCTACCCTTCACCCACCAGCGGCGGCGCGGCACAGCGCGCCCATCTGCGCGAGCGCCATCTGCGCGGTCGTCAGCACGCCCGCCATCCGCATCATCAGCTCGGTTTCTGACACCCCGCCGCCCCGCGCCTCGCCGTGCACAGGCGGGCCGCCGCTGGGTCTCGCCTCCATCACTCCCGCGATCTGCCCGCGGCCAGGCGCCAGACGCGGCGAGGAAAGGAGCAGAGCGAGCAGAGAGGGCCGTTCAGGGTGCGCAGCAGCACATCGCCAGGGAGAAAGGGGGAGAACGGGAGGGAGGTGCGGGAAGCACGGAGTGGGCACCGTGCAGCCGAAACTTGCGGCGACGTGGAGAAGTGCATTACCAAGGCAGGCAAATCAAATTAGAGAATGCTCGGCAGGCAATCAAATTAGAGAAACATACTCCTATCAACTCGTTAAGGGGGTGTCCGAAGTGGCGTGTTGGTTTCGGGATGTCGCGGAACCGACAGTTTTTGGCTATCCAACCGTTCCGAAATCCGCAGACACCGTACTGTACCTTCCTGTGACCCCCGTGAACATCACGATCTGTTTTACTTCGAACACCCCTAAGCCTAGGTTAAGGATGCACGAGACGAGGGGTCAAGGAGAGGAGATAGCGCTCTTCGAAGAAAATCAATAATGATTCAATACGGTCGACCCTTTTTGCGCGCGATGTATGGCATGCCCCAGTTACCCAAAACGGTCGACCCCCCAAACTGTACCTGTTTTCGTGTTGGGCTCAGATGCCACTACGTTTCTTTGGGGCAACTGGTTTGGGCAGCATATGTAGGGTCCAATAAGGAGTAATACGACAAAGAAAGACGGCACATTAAATCTAGTGGTCAAAATAATGAAAGCGGGTCCAACTTGAAAGGGCCTAGAAGTTCGTTGTAGCGACTAAGGGACAAACTGGTTGGGGCAGAGGGGTTCACTGTCGAGACATGCGAGCAGGGGAAACAGCACTAGCATGAGCAGTTACTTGATTGGTTGGCGGGAAACCCCATTTCGTTTGGTTGGCGGAAAACTAAAGTCGCAAATAGCGCGCGACCAGTTGCACAGTCCCCACTGCCCACAAGTTGAACCAAGTGGGCCCAACTTGAATTTCAAGTTGGACCCGGCTTCACTCACTACTCCTGCTAAACCAAGACTGGGTGCCGATTGGTCGAAATTATTGTATACTTATGCTAGTGGCCGTACGATCTGTTACGATAACATTCGCGTCGCACGTGCAATTCGATTTCGTGGCCCAAGGCAAGCAAAAAGATCCGGGCTGCTGCCCGGCGCGAAGCAAAATATTCGCTCAAGGGTCGTTTCTAGTTGGGCCCAACTAGAAAGAGGGGACACTATTATAACCTTTCGCTTTAAGGGCTGCGGCATTTGAAAAAGGCACGTGCAATCATTTTAGGTACAACACCCGGATTTTGCCAAAATAGCGGGAAAATTTTTCGCTGAACTCGGATTCTGACGGGGAACTTTTCTAGAAACAGGGTTTAAACCCAGATTCTGACGAGTGAATTTTGGCAGAATTGGATGTGAAACCCGGATTAGACGGGTGAATTTTGACAAAATAGAGTGCTGAACGCGGATTTTGACGAGTAGCTTTGGCCAGATAACCGGATATGACGGGTGCCCCGAAAACCAAATGTAAGCCCCGACACTTGCGAGACTCAGATGACTCCAACACGTGCGTTCACGCGAGGTGCAGGGGACAGGGAAGCATAGGTAGATTTTTTTCGCGACCCATTAAATGCATGTTCGCGCAAGAATTGAATTGGGAACCGGCAAATGCTTTCACAGCGACCCAAAATTACATTTCCAATATTTGGCATATCAAAACGAAAGCGGGTACAAGTCGGGGGGGGTCGACCGTTTTGATAAATTCGTGGTTTTCGTCAAAGCGCGCGATCTCCTCGACAAAGGATGAAACTGGCTGAAGGATGGGTGTCGCATGAAACTGGTTTGCCCAAGACCCAAACTGAACAAACCCCCCAGATTCCAATTTGGCCACGAGATAGTGGCTTGGCAGCTCGCCGAGACTAGCTGACATGAGGGAAACGGCCTCATTTCGCGCCAAACAAAACAGACCTCCACAATGATGCCACAACGGAAACCACTTGATCTCACGAAACCACGCAAAGTCTCTGTAAGGTGGATTGATACCGTAATCCCCCCAATATAGGCGCATAGGGCTTATAAGAAATACCTGGCAAAAGTCGCATGCGCTTATAATCAAAGAAATTTTATATGCCCAAGGCTAAGGGATTTCATGGAAATGCCAGCAAATCCATCCTGCAATGGGATGAATTTTCCAGCCAATCAGAGCCAAGGCAGGGAGCGAACATTGCGCTTCTGGTTCGGGAGGGGCTAGGGGGGTCATGGCTTAAACTTCGATATGAAAAATCCATGTTTTCCCAATTGTTTTACAAAAATAAAATATGCCTATACGAGATACATTTTCAAAAATATGGGTGCGCTTATAATCAAATAACGGATATAGGCGCACTTGCACTCAAGGCCTTATATTGCAGGATTTTAACCCTGATTCAGGGTAAAATCAGGGCTTTTTTGGGGGGTGACCCTGATGAGGCAGGATTTTTTTAAGACACTGGCCTGATTTTTTTTTTTTTTTTTTTAGGAGTGAACTCTGATCGATCAGCGTTACTAGTGTAGTGAGCCCTGTTTGTCCAGATTCATATAATAGCAGATTCGCAGCCCCCACCCCTGTACCCATGATTTCCGTGGGTTTCCCCAACCGCCCCTTGTCAATCCCGCCGACTTGAATACGACCGTCCATTTTTGTTTCCGACGCGGTCGTATTTTCAGAGCCTAAACATAGTCTTGATCCCTCTGCGCCTACTGCCATTGAGAACTCTGATACCGCATAATAATAGGCATATATTACACAGCGTGCTTTCTGTATATAATCATGTTACTTAGCGTGGAAATTTCTAGGGACCCTGATGGATCAGGGGAAAAAAATTGGAGAGGCTTGAAAAATCAGGAGACCAAGGTAGGGGGACCCTGAGCAATTAGGGTGCCTCTAAACGAATCCGAGGCCCTGCTTGCACTCCAAAAGCCCAGTGGGCCAAATAAAGGGATGCGCCCATATCTGAGGGATTACGGTTTCTGTAAGGAAATATTATTTCCTTACCATGGGTTTTAGATAATAAGGCGTACACTGCTATAACGGGGTTGCCGCGCAGCTCTGCTACGAAATTCAAATCGCGGGACCCAAATGTGGCCTCCTGACGAACCGCGTGCATTTTGTCCGCCTTGCTGATTTATGCCTAGATTTTGGCGCTTCGTGCTAATTTACAAACCACACGTCGCAGGTCTGCCAAGTCACGATCGTGTGCTCTAGGCTAGCTATATCCATGCTCCCTGCTATTTTAATGTTTTCTCAATTCTATTGTTTCCTTGTTACTCAATCCTTTCTCACACGCTCTTTGCGCTTCTTTACACCAGGCCAGGCCCCCAAATTGCAGTATTTTTACGACGATTCAATATTTTTTCAGGTTTTTTTTTTCTTTTTTTTCTGTTTTTTAAATTTAATTTAATAATAACCTATGCTGATTGTTCAGCCTTTTTTTTTCATCCTTAGGCTGATTTTTCAGCAAAATCTTTTAGACCTAGGTTGATTTTTCAGCCTTTATTTACAAGTACAGACTAATGCATCAGCACCGTAGGGGGGTTGTACCTGTTAAAGAAACGAGGTAGCTAGGGAAGCCATGGGATGGAAGATAGTCCCCTCTACAGTAGGATTCATTAAGTAGCACAACTACCAAGCCTACAATTATATCTGTAAAATATATAATTTAATACATCCCCTAGGATTGGTAGTGGCAAGCCCATCCCACCCCCAGCACCCCCACATCCTTGCACCCCCATTCCCTGCAGCAGTAGTGGTGCCGACCAGCCGGTCGACCCCTCGGCAATCGAGGTGGCAACGTCGACGGCATGTCGTAGTGGCGGCGGCGGCGGCGGCACGGTGTGCAGCACCTGCGTACTTGCTAGATACCGCACCAGCACGTGCGGGTCTCATGCCCGATGTACTTGCTAACGCAAAACCCTCTTAACGGCCGATCAGTGCTGTGGTCGGTGTCTGCCTGTGGCCACAAAGCGAGCCAGGATGCTGTGAGGGTATGCGAGATTTGGACGAGTGCAAGTCTCAGTCTGCAGTAGCGAAGACCAGGTCGTCTACGTAGACAAGGATGTAGAACGGAGTCTGGCTAGCACTGTGAGAGTACGACCCCGTTACACTTCTTTCTCATTTCCATCTTTTTCCTCTACCTCATTCTTCTAATTATCCCAATTCCTTTGATCTTTATCTCATCCCATTTGGTTTCCTATTCCTCCTTTCTCATTTTCCTTTGGGTTATCCTATTGTTATAATTATATCACCGACCAGGCTTGGGATGTACTGGCGCGCTATATCTAGCGTAATCCGGAAGATGAAAGCGAGGAGTGCGCTTTTGCCTTCTTCTCTCCGGTGGAGATGCCGGGGGAGCCTACAAATCCCAAGGAGGTTTGGGAGGGCCCCAATGGGAAGGAGTGGAAGAAGGCCTCAGATAAAGAAATGGGGAGCATTATAGAGAACGACACGTTTGACTTGGTGAACCTATGGTGATTTCTTCCAAGTGGCTTTTCAAGTGCAAGATCGATGCCGACGGCAACATTGAGCGCTACAAGAGCAGAATTGTAGCCAAGGGGTACCAGCAGAATGAGAAGGACTACAATGAAGCATAAGCTCTTGTGGTGAAGGGTACAACCCTTCGAAATCTCTTCGCCGCGGCGGCCATCAAAGGATGGGTCGTGAAGCAAATGGATATAGTAACGGCCTTCCTCAATGGATTTTTCGAGGAAGAGACCTTCATAGAGCAGCCAGAGGGGTACAATGATGGGAGTGGCAGAGTGTGGAAGCTGAAGAAAGCACTCTATGGCCTCAAGCAAGCCCCTAGGCAATAGTACATCAAGCTGCGGGAAGTCTTGGAAGCGATCGGCTTCACTCCCCCAACGGCCGACCAATCATTGTTCATGCTTGGCGACGGGAAGCAGAGGAGCTTTGTGAGAGTACGACCCCGTTACACTATTTTCCCCTTTCCATATTTCCTTTCTATTTCATTCCTCTTTTTATCCTCATTCATTTGGTCTTTATCTCATCTCATTTGGTTTCCTATTCCTCATTTTCCATTATCCTTTGGTTTATCCTGTTATTATAATTATATCACCGACCAGGCTTGGGATGTACTGGCGCGCTATATCTAGCGTAATCCTGCCGTAATCCCTTAAAGCCAATAGCCTCGCGTGGCTATACGCATGGTGATTCTATTTCTAGAAGGGTCTATTCCCTTTGGATAGGATAAACCTGG